CGCTGAGGCGATCGAGGGTCCCTACTCCTCTCAGTGGCAGTCAGCCATGGACGCAGAGATGGCTTCCTGGAAGTCCACAGGCACCTACGTCGACGAGGTTCCCCCACCTGGGGCGAACATCGTCAGTGGCATGTGGGTTTTCATGGTGAAGCGGCCGCCGGGTTCTCCCCTGTCTTCAAGGCGCGTTACGTGGCTCGAGGCTTCAGTCAGCGACAGGGAGTTGACTACTTTCAGACCTTCTCTCCCACCGCGAAGATGACCACTCTTCGGGTGCTGCTGCACATAGCCGCTCAACGCGACTACGAGCTTCACTCTCTTGACTTCAGCATAGCTTTCCTGCAGGGCAGTCTGCATGAGGAGATCTGGCTGCGCCGCCCACTTGGCTTCACTGGGTCGTTTCCTCCTGGTACCCTGTGGAGCCTCCGGCGGCCAGTCTATGGTCTCCGCTAGGCGCCCCGTGAGTGGCACGACACACTGAGGACTACATTTGCGGCTCTTGGGTTTGCTCCTTCTACTGCCGACCCGTCGCTGTTTCTGCGCACCTACACCTCTTTGCCGCCGTTCTACATCCTCGTGTACGTCGACGACTTGGTCTTTGCCACTGCTGACACTGCTGGACTCGCTCACGGGAAGTCCGAGCTGCAGAAGAGACACACGTGCAGCAGGTCCTTCGCCGCTTCGACTTCACGTACTCCTCGCCTCAGGCCACTCCTCTGTCTACTCGCCACTCGCTCTTAGCTCTTCCTTCGATGAGCCCGTAGAGCCGAGTGGCCCGTACCCAGAGCTTGTTGGCTGCCTCATGTACCTGATGACCTGCACACGACCTGACCTAGCATACCCTCTTAGCAACTTGGCACGCTATGTTGCTCCTAGGAGACACCGACCAGAGCACATGGCTGCACCGAAGAGGGTGTTGCGCTACTTGTGCAGTACGTCGGGCATGGGGCTAGTGCTTGGAGGGCGACGTCGAGTGGTCCTCACAGGTCACGCAGACGCTTCTTGGGCTGACGACCAGGCTACGCAGCGATCGTCACAGGGCTACACCTTCAGCCTTGGCTCCGGCTCTGTTTCGTGGTGGTCCACCCGCTCGTCTTCTGTTCTCGGGTCCAGCTGTAAGGCTGAGATCTACGCGGGGGCCATGGCTGCACAGGAGCTACGCTGGCTCACCTACATGCTGACTGACCTGGGAGAGCCACCTCGTTCTCCTCCAATTCAGTACGTAGACAACAAGGCCATGCTGGCCTTGTGTCGGGAGCATAGACTGGAGCACAGAACGAAGCACATTGCTCTTCGCTACTTCCTTGCTCGTGAGCTGCAGCAGCGTGGTCAGCTGCGCCTTGCTTACGTGGCCTTTGAGGCCAACACTGCTGATATCTTTACCAAGGCACTTCCGCCTTGTGATCATCAGCGCTTCTGTACGATGCTAGGTCTTGTGCCTACTTGGCCTCACTTGCTCACTTCTTGACCTTGCTTGTACTGGGATCATTCAAAACATGCACTTGCTTGTTTACCTTTATGTATGATCTTGCATGTGAACTGGCCTTGTGGCCTTGCTCTTGTGCTCGGACTGTGTGGTGACTTTGTGATCCACCCTGAGCTTGCCTTGCTTTGCTTGACTGGTCTTGTGACCTCCTGTTCTCCCCCACTTTGCCTATGGGGGTGTGTCAAACTCTTATGCTATAGTTGTCAGAATCCCAACCACTAGACCATTGGGATAAAAGGGCTTGTTTTAGTAGCGGGTCAGTGCGCCCATAACCCCCCAAGCAAACGCGCCTGTAACCCCCCCTAGGATCGATCGGGGATCTCACAGTGTAGCTCTACTGACACCCCCCCACACTGGGAGGCCCAGGACTGAGCACAGTGGCAACGGCCAACATGTGCATACACCGGGATTCGAACCCGAGACCGCTCTGATACCATGTCAGAATCCCGACCACAGGGCTTGTTTTAGTAGCGGGTCAGTGCGCCCATAACCCCACAGGCAAACGTGCCTGTAACCCCCCCTAGGATCGATCGGGGATCTCACAGTGTAGCTCTACTGACAATAGTCTGTGTAGGCTGTAGTGGGGTAGACAATATGGGGTACAACACTTCTATGTTTTCCTACTTGTACCCAAGTGCTTGCTAGTTCATTCATTCCTCAATTCTCACATCTGAGCGTGTTAAAAGAAATCAAGGTTTAAAAAAACACAACTCTGGTACTTCAGTGTTGGGGAAATTACTTCAGAGTCGCAGTATTTTTTTGTTTTTTCCTTCTGGTTTGTCGGTGAGCTTCAAGGGCGAGAAGGACTGTTGCAACATTGGCTCGATTTGGCGCAACTTTGCAAGTGCCAACTGGGCGACTTGCCACGCAGCTGAGCTGGCACAGAACACAAACCACTGTCAAACATTATATGTGTTCTGCTTGTGTAGGCTACAGTGGGTTAGCCTATAGGGGGTACACAATTCTAGGGTTTCCTACTTGTACTCATTTCACTGCTAGTTCATTCATTCCTGTTCGCTGATTCTGACAACCACCACTTGGCGCGCGAGAATCGGCCGGTTCCTCCGCAACATAAATTTTCAACCTATGAATCAGGAACAATTTATTTCAAGTGCTGTGGTGCGGAGAAATTTTCGATTTCAGCACCAAAAAGTGTGATACATTACCTGTGGCAAGATATCCTCTCCCACCGATTCGCCGATTTGTTGTGCTATCCGCTAAGACATCACTATTGGGCTTCTTTTTCTAGCTCGCTTCAACGGTTAACCCACTGTGGGACACAATTCAACCTGCGTGATACTGCCACAGATAAAGTGTATTCAGATATCACAGCAGGTGTTGTATGCTTTGCTCACGTGTTGGCATTCGCTGCCACCTCGGAGGTGGGTGTATCGAAAGGAAATTTCTATGAAGCTTCCTCCCGATAAACTCGCATGCAGGGACCATAGAACGCATACTCTGTAGTGACAGACTCCAGAAATGACTAACACTTAGGCCTATTACACTGAATCAGGGGCCATAAAACAATAACTCTGAGGCTCTTAGTGATGAAAATTTGACTACTCTGGAATTCCATTTTTCACAAACTCGATGGTCTGATCCGTCAGACTAATCAGACTATTTAGTCTGATAGCGTCAGCCCTGCTACATGATCACGCCAGTAACCGCACCAGGGCCTATGTTATCAGGATAATTTATCCTGATTCTCCTGAATTCAGGATAGGTTTAACATGCTTCTCCTGAAAAAACAGCATAAGGGAATTACTTGTCCTGTAAAATCAGTATAATGGTTATTTTGTGTACTGAAAACTCAGGATAACGCTGTAGGTTCAGCCCTGACGACTCAGGATAATGTCGAATCTCGCCCTGAAGCGAGATGTACTGTACGAAAAATATCCTGGGTTTCGGGGCCTAAAGTGGGCAAGGCAAACGCTTCGGATGCTGGAGCCAAGGGGAATCGAGGAGGCAACCTACTGAGTAGCAATCATTCGCTTTACCCACTGCAACACTCCATGTTCGACTCTTAGAAAAACAAGAGTTAAAAGAATGTGTTTTAGCGCCAATTTGGCCCACAATGTTCCCCGCCACCTTCGCCATCTCCTTGTACTGTGCTGTAACACTTTCGCACCATGCAGCTGCCAGCGACTTGCACTGCCAGCCACTTGCAGTTGCACCCCAGAATTACACACTTCGAATGTGGAGAGCATTTCGATCCCCACTAACATAACACGCGCGAAATATACAGGATTGTACGAAATGTAGCACTGAGCTGCCAGGATACTCTCAAATGTAGCACTGACATTTCAGGATACCTCACCCTGTGCAGCCCTGACAATTCAGGGCAGATTCTGATTTCCTAAAAACTGCCCTGAGGCCTCAGTGTACCCCCAAACGAATCTGAGGGCCTGAACCGCACACCTACTGTTACCGACCGACTGGTATATCAGCCCTTCGTTCCACGTCAGCTTGCTTCGCCCCTACATCCCAACCACAAGCCAACTGCCTCGCCACCGCCCGCCATCGATGACTCGCCCTGCATCGGAGCCGATCATCGCACCCGAAAAAATCCTGAGCCATCGGATTCGACACCCCACGAGAATCAAGAGGATTGAATTCCTCGTTCGCTGGAAGGATCGCACGCCAACTGAGGACAGCTGGGTGCCCCTGGCCAACATCGAAAACCACCCTGCATTGCAAGTGTACCTGAGGAGCCGGGGATTCCGCGATATACACGCACTCGCGTAGCGGAGGGGGCTTCTTGAGGGGGAGGGTAGTGTAAGGAATTTTCTCGGCATTCCTTACGTAGCCCGACTACATCACGTACAGCAATAGCCGTTGTTCGCCCGTTACTACTAACGGGGCTTCGCCGACTTCGCGCGCACTGTTTCACCAAACCTCGCACTGCTGGCCTGCCTGGCGGCCTGGCCGTGTCGGCCTACGCTTCGGGACTAGCCCGAGCCTCGTTTCCAGCGTAGCACTAGCTAGCTCGCACGCACCGCGTTACCGTTTGCATGTTTCGCGTATAAATGTTCGCTCATGCCCTCGCTCATGTTTTGTACTCGTTTGACACCTTAGTGCAATTCTCGCTACCGTTCTTAGATTCATTGCACCCGTAACAGTTAAATGTAATGGCATCACAACAACGCTTTGTACACGCACGCCTCCTCCACCCAATGCAACCAGCCAAGCCAAGATCCCATTCTCTCCAATGCGGCAATCTCGATGGGAGCTTTACTACTGCCAAGCACATCCGAGAAACTGTATCTGGTATTATCCCGCTCCTGTGTCGCCTGATTGAGATTCGTGCAAGCATGTGCTGATCTGGGAAGGAAGATTCCTGTGATACGCTCTCGAAGCACCGACCTCCATGACTGAGAACCCGAATGTGCTAAATTTTCTGAGATTCCCTAGATTTGGTCCACCTGCGTGACCGTTCCACCCCGAAATTCTCCACATCCGAACCAAAGGCAACCTCTTTCACCGTGCGCGGTGCGTCGCATCGCCTGTTCAATCCGCAATGCCGTCGCGCTCGCGGCGGAACTCCGAGCAGCGGCGGCGCGTGGAGCAGCCGGATCTGCAGGTGCTTCCGCCGCACGTATGGGGCACGATCGGGGGACTGGGGCTAGCGGCGACGGCGCTGCTGTTCGCGATCCTAGGCGTTGCGACGGACTGGGAGGTCCCCGGCTTGCCGTACCTCTACAACGGTCTCTTCGCGCTCTCCGTCGTGCTGTGCGCTGTCGTCATGCCGGTCGCGTGGTCGCAGCTGCCGAGTAAGTCGTTGCCGGAGTGTGGGGGAGAAATTGGTGGTCAAAACGGGCGGTTTGCTGGCGAATACCGAGTAAGCCGTTGACGGAGTGTAATGGAGTGAACAGTGGTTGAAACAAGGCGGTTTGCTCGTGAAATCCGTGCATCTCGCGTTGCTGAAGCCGTGAATTTCGCTGGTTGCTGTGCATCCCGCTGCGTGCCGTCGATCTTGCACTGCTGACGCTGTGAATGCCGTTGCGTGCCGTCCCGCTGCTGGCATATCTTGCCGCGTTTCGTGCCAGCAACGACGACGGTCAACAAACCCGCCGAGTCAGTCGTTGCATGCTGAACTGAACTCCCCTCTTGCTTCACAATTCCCCCTTTCCGCATTTCCCCCTCCACGTGCTCCGCATCCCCCCTCGTCCGCGTGCTCCGCGTCCGCCCGCTGTGCCGACGTGCGCATGCATGGCAGGTGGCATGAGGGCGCGGTTGAAGTGGAGGCGGCGAAGCAAGGACGTGCAGATTAACATGGACCCCCCTCCCTGGGCCACCTCTGGTGCTGCTGTCTGCCGGTACTTACCTACCTACCTACCCACCTACCTACCTACCTCCCTGCCACTTATGCACGTGCCGCCGCCGGGCACTTGCTGCCATGCACATGCTGCCATGCACTTGCTGCCATGCACATGCTGCCATGCACATGCCGCCATGCACATGCCGCCATGCACATGCTGCCATGCTTATGCTCGCCGCACACGTGCTACCATGTACGGCGGGGCGTTCACTCTTCTCTGCACTGCAGTGCGCCACGCCACCCATTCATCTCGCTCACCATTTATTTCTGAGAATTCTCAAAAATGACTCCAACATCGCAGGGCGTTCACTCTTCTCTGCACTACAGTGCGCCGTGCCCACTCATCTCGCTTATCATTTATGGCAGCAATTGTGCTTTCAGTCAACTAAAATTTACCAACACAGTGCACCACGCTCTCATCTTCCTTTGGAGGCTGAGGTGCCTCAAAAGAAAAAACCATCGGCTCATCGCACCCATCTCATTCATCCATTGCAGCGCCACATGAGCATCACAGAGCAGAGCAGAACAGAGCTCGTCATTTCGTTCATCCTTTCGCTGCATGCGGGACAATAGAAGCAAGTAATTGCCCCAACGCTACTTTGCTTCCTTGCCCCTTCCCCCCCTCCTCCTCCTCTCCACCTCCTCCCTTCCTCGCTTTCCCTATTTCCACCTTCTCCCCTTCCTTCCCGCTGTCACCCCTTCGCCTTCCACCCGTCCCCCTTCCCTTCTTCAACCCTTCCCCACTTCCTCCCTTCCACCCTTCCCCACGTCCCCTCTTCCCCGTGTTCCCTCATTCCCCCGTTTCCCCTTTCCCCGGGCCCCATGTTCCCCCGCCCGCCCATCTGCGATGGCATTGCCAGCATATTACACGTGGTGGAGGCATCGGGGTTACCTCGTGAGGTGGCAGCAGCACGCCTGCTCAAGCACGGCCGCAACGAATACGAAACCATGCCCGTGCCCTCCTTCCCGCTCTTCCTCCTCGCCCACCTCTACACTCCCACACGGGTGCGTTCCTGTGCCTTGCCCTGCCCTGTCCTGTCGTGCCCTGCCCTGCCTTGCCCTGCCCTGTCCTGTCGTGCCCTGCCCTGCCTTGCCCTGCCCTGTCCTGCCCTGCCTTGCGTCGCCCTACCCTGCTCTGCTCTCCGCCCACTCTTGCGCCTGCTTCTTTTCTCTCCCCGCCCCCTCCCTCCCTTCACCTTCCCACAGCTTCCCCGCTCCCAGCTCTCCCCATTCTCGCTCATTCTCCCTTCTTTCCGCTCTCTGTCTTGTCCCTATGCAGCTGCCCATTCCCCCCTGACTCGTTACTAGTCCTTCCACGATTTTCCTTCTTTGGAAGAATAACATTGATCTACAATTGCAACCCCTCTGCACGCCCCCATTCCCCTACCTCTTCCCACCCCGTTCCTCCCCCACCTCCCACCCTTACCTAGCAACACCTCTCTCCCTCCATGCACATGCACCACACCGCACCACACCACTCCACACCACACCATACCCCACCCACCCCACCCCACCCCACCCCACCATATGCCACCCCTCAGCTGCTCCTCCTGGCGCTGGTGGTCCTCTTCGCAGGCCTCACGCCCCCAGAGGAAGCCACACTCGGCGCGCTCTGCTCCCTCGCCCTCCTCCTGCTCCACCTCTACGCCGAGTGGCGCGGGCGGCACCGTTTGGCAGCTGCCAGCCTGGCAGCGCCGCATGATGCTCTGGTGCTAAGGGACGGTGCGGCTGTGGCTGTGAGCCGTGCTGACCTCGTGCCTGGGGACATTGTGCTGCTGCGATCAGGCATGGTGGGTGCCTGTGATGACGCATGGTGGGTGGGTGCACGTGAGGAGGCATGGTAGATTCTGAACGAATACATTAGCTTGTGGTGTATGTGGGAAAGCAGCAACGCAGTGTAGTGCAGGCACTGTCTAGTTCTGCTGCCTGCCATGATGGCCGCGACGTCTGTGGCTTTGAGCTGTGCTGACCTGGTGTCTGGCTGGGGACGTGGTGCTGCTGCGGTTGGGTATGGTGGGTGCCTGAATAAGTTCTTGTATGAAAGCTATGTGATATGTGTGGGAAGGGGGTGGTGTAGTGTAGGCAAGCTCTGCTGCCTGCGGCTGTCCACTGCTGCTGCCTCCCCCTTCCCCAGCCCCTCCTCCTCCCCTCCCAAACGCCCTCTCCCCCGCCTCCCCACCCCACAGGAGGTCCCAGCGGATCTGCGGCTGCTCCACTGCACGCTCCTCGAGATCGACGAGTCGGGCTTCTCCGGCGAGTGGGATGGGAAGCAGCGCCCTGCCCCAAAGACGCCTTCCTCCCACCTCCCCAACACCCGGCCTCCCTGTCCCCGATCCTTGTGTCGACTAAACCCCCCGGCCCCCCCTTTCCCTATCCCCCTCCCACTTCCCTCCCCCGCCCCTTCCCCCTCCCCCTGCCCCACCCCAACCCCCCCCACCTCCCCACCCCGCAGGAGGTCCCAGCAGATCTGCGGCTGCTCCACTGCACGCTCCTTGAGATCGACGAGTCGGGCGTCTCCGGCGAGTGGGAAGCAGCGCCCTGCCCCAAAGACGCCTCCCTCACCCTCAACCCCACCGCCAAAGCCACCCCGATCGGGTGCCAGAACATCGCCCTCGCAGGGACCATGGTCACCTGCGGGTACGGCTCGGGTGTTGTGTTCCGCACGGGCATGCAGACGGAAATCGGGAAGAAGCTCGCGTCGGTCTCGCACGTGCACGCGATGAGGATCGGAGGCGGAGGGGAGACCTCCCCGCTGCTGCTGCTGCTGCGCTCGGCCTCGAAGCAAATCGCTTTCGCGTCGGTGGGAGTCAGCGTGATGGCTGCTGCGCTGGGAGTGTTCCGGCAGGTGGTGTGGCAGGACGTTCTCCTCGTCTCTCTCGTACTCTTTTTCGCCACGCTGCCCGACGACCTTCCCGCGCTGCTCTACTCCACGCTCGGCGCATGCAGCCACCGGCTGGAGGCGAACGAAATCTTCTTCCAGCAGTTGAAGGCCATAGAGAACCTCTCCTTCGTCGACACCATTCTCACCGACAAAACCGGGTGCTTAACGGAGGACAAGCCGGCTCTGCACGAGCTGCTGGTGGCAGATACGCCTGTGGGGGCGGAGGATCTAGCAGAGGCGACGAGAGCAGTTCCCAAGACAGGGCCCTTGGCGGAGGACGGGGCGATGAATGCGCTGGGACGGCTGTTTGAAGCGTGGGTGTTCATGTCTGATATGGGGGATGATCTGTTGAGGGATAGCACGGGGATGAAACGGCGGAGAGGCACCAGCAGCAGCAGCAGCAGGGGAAGCTTGTCCTCTCTCAGTGCTTCTGCTGCTTCTTCTTCCGCTGCTGCTGCTGCTGCTGGGTCTTCTGCTGGTGGGTTAGCAGGCGGGGTGGCAGCAGATGGAGGAGGGGCAGGATCATCTTCCGGTGCAGCAGATGGGGCATCATTGCCGTCGTCAGAAGCGGAGTTCCTTGCGCGAGTGGCGAAGGAGGCGAGGGACGCAGGAGCCGGAGCGGCGTTGCAGATTGACATTGGGGAGAGCGAGGAGCAGAGCGAGTCTTTGCTGGAAGGCGGCTCAGTTTTGTCTACCGGCCCCAAAGGGCTAGCATCAGCTGGAGGAGGAGCAGGAGCAGGAGGTGTGCGCACTGCTGACGTGGCAGCCAGAGGAGGCCACGTGGACACGCTCGATTGGGCGATCCTCGCAGCGGTCGGCGGCCCGTCAGTGCTAACAAGCCTTCCATACGAGGGTCTAGAAGGCGAAGAAGAGGCAGCCGTAGCTGCAGCAGCAGCAGCAGTAGCGTCCACGAGAGGTCTCCGACCACTACACGACATGCTGAGGCGGTGCTATGAGGCCAAGGCTGCCGCGGATAGGCTGGCAGATACCCCGTATGATGCGGTGCTGAAGTGCGCCACGAGAACGTATGCCAATGTGCCCGTGGCGGTTGCAGAGGGGGGTGTCGCGGCTGCTGCGTCGAAGCGGGGAAAGTCGGTGCAGCAGAAGCTGCTGGCGCTGGGGAGACGGTACGCTGTGTGAACCTGAGCCTTGCCTGCCTATCCCTTACCCACCCCCTTACCCACCCCCTTACCTACCCCTATACCTACCATGCTTTATCCGCACCTCTTCACTGCTGATGCCTCCTCTCCCGGGGCTCTTTCACTCCATCGGTGAACCTGTGTTCTTAGAATTCTAAAAGATCAGGTTCAGCACAAACTGGGTGTCGGAGAGAGGCGTGTCGTTAGACGCTTCAGTCCCTCTCGTCCTTTCCCAAAAGAGTCGAATAAAAGTCGAATATAAGTCGAATAAAAGTCGAATAAAAGTCGAATAAAAGTCGAATAAAAGTCGAATAAAAGTCGCAGATGCCTGTCTGTCTGAGTTGGACGATATTTGTAACCCAACCCGCTTCCTCCTTCCAGCCAACCCACACCAGTTTTCCCCGCACAGGTCCATCTACCAATTCAACCTGCCAGTGCCACGCGTTTTCCTGTCTCCCCGCTGTTTACCCGGCCGCAGGGCAGCAGCACAAAACGGTGCAGCGCCAGATGCAGGCGACACAGCAGGAACAACAGCAGCAGCAAGAGGCGGTGGGGGGGAGGGCGAGGTGTGTGAGAGGGTGTACGTGAGGGGGCCGCCAGAGGTGCTGGTGGAGCAGTGCGGCAGCGTGCTGTGCCATGGCGAGCCCGAGTCCATCTCTTCCCTGCGCCCTGCGCTGCTCAAACGCATTCAGGAGCTCGCCGACCAAGGTATGGAGGATGGATGGATGGATCAGCCTGAGTGGCCCATGAGGTAGGGGTGGGTGGGTTGGTGGGTGCTGCTCCAGGCATGACTGACAAGCAGGAACAACAGCATGGGGAAACACATCGCACAGCATGGGATTATTGCTTATTCTTGGGTTTACATTCATCCTTCCCCTTCTCCTCCTTCCACCAATCCTGTCCCCCGCCCCTGCCTCCCCCCGCCCCTGGCTACACGCAAGTGGGCTATGCTTCGGGCAGCACAGCTAATGACTTCAGCGCTCAGCAGTCGTCTTATCCGCCATCCACTGCATCTCGCTCCCCCACACCCCCGCCCCCTCTTTCCCCCCTCCCTCCCCTACCTCGGGCTACACGCTAGTGGGCTATGCGTCTGGCAGCACGGCTGATCACTCCAGCCCGTGGCTCTCGTCCTCGGCATCACTCTTCGTGCACGGTCTGTTTTTTGAGAATTCTCAAAAAACATCTTCGTGCACGGTCCTCGTCTCCTCCCTCTGCACACCCGCTCCCCCTGCACACCCGCTCCCCCTGCACACCCGCTCCCCCTGCACACCCGCTCCCCCTGCACACCCGCTCCCCCTGCACACCCGCTCCCCCTGCACACCCACCCCCTCTAAACACCCCCTCTCCCACCCATTCCCCCTTCCTCCCCGCCCATCTCCACAACCCCAGGCTACACGCTAGTGGGCTATGCGTCTGGCAGCACAGCGGATCACTCCAGCCCCCGCCATTCCTCTTCCCGCACCGCCCTCGTCTCCTCCATCGCCGACTGCACCTTCCTGGGCCTCGTTGCTCTTTCCGACCCCACGCGCGTTGACGCTGCTGCTGCCGCGCGCTGCTGCCGCCTTGCGGGGGTGCGCCCTGTGCTGGTGACTGGGGATCACCTGGGGACGGCCGTTGCTGTGGCTAGAGCTGCTGCCATCTGCTATCCGCATCAGGTAAGGGATGCTTCAAACGTCTCAAGACTCGTTGCTGCTGCTGCTTCTTCTGCCGCTGCCGCTGCCACCGCCGCCACTGCTGCAGTGTGTGTGGGGCACCTAGAACCTGCACTCCTCCCCCCTCCTGTCCCTGGCGCCGTCTGCGTACAATATCTTTTGAGTCGACTCAAAAGTCACCTCGTACCAAATCTTCAGGCAGCTAAAAAAACACCCTCCCCCCTCCCTCCTCCCCACTTCCCCCTTCCCATTCCCCGCTCCCCTCTCCATGGATCCGTTTTCAACCCACACTTCTTGGGGCCCCCCCATTCCCCTTTTCCCCCTCTCCCTCCCCCCAGGTGCAGCAGCAGGAGGTGCAGCAGGACGCCATCTCATGCACGGAGCGCCCGCCAGCGCAGAGCACGGGCGAGGAGCTCAGGGCTCTTGTGGCGGGCACTAGCGTGGTGGCGCGCGCATCTCCCACAGACAAGCTCTGCATTCTGGAAGCTCTGCAGATGAATGGACAGCTCGTGGCCGCGTGCGGGTCAAGTGAGGACATTAGGGGGGTAGTGGTGAGGGTCTGGGGAGTTGCGAGGGGCAGGGGGGACTGCAGAGGAGATGTTGTGAGGGAAAACCGGGGTTGTGGGGATGAATAGAGGTAAGGATAGGTAAAGTGTGGGGCAGGGATGATCACATGTGCGTGCAGTTGTGTTGTGGGTCTGTGATCGGTTGCTACCCCATGAGCACTGCACCGTGGTTAATGCTCTCCACTCACTGTTATGCTATGCAGCCCGTCGCTCTCTGACATTCTTCCTCCACCCAACAAGTCAAAATCATCCTCTCGCGCCTAGCTCGATCCCACAAAAACCCATCCAACATTTCGTGCGGAGAAGAGAACGTTGCAGATCAAACCCACTCCATGTACCTCCCTCCCACTCACGCACCATTTTCCTACCCCCAAACCTCATTCCGAACCACTCCCCAAACCCCTCTTTTCTCTCTCCCACCCCCTTCCCACCCAGGCCTGACAGACGCATCAGTGCTAGCAGCAGCGGACGTGGGCATAGCTGTAGGCCCGGGCCCGGCAGCGGTGCGCGATGCAGCGTCCGTGGTGTTGCTTGACCCCTCCTTCGGTGCCATCCGCTTCCTGCTCGAGGAGGCACGTGCTGCTCTCAGCAACGTGCGCAAGGGGCTGGCGCTGGAGCTGGGGTGCAAGCTGGGGCTCGCGCTTGTTGTGCTGCTGGGCACGCTTTGGCTCAGGTGGGTTTTGGACCACGGAACGACTGTGGCCTGTGCGTGTTGGTTTATTCGGAAGCCTCAGTAAGAACACGTTGTGTCTCAGGTGGGTTCTGAAGCTTGTGAGACGTCTCCAAGATGGGGCTTGTGCTTCTGGTGCTGCTGGGCAGGCTGTCAGGTCAGGCGAGCAGAGGAGGACGGGGCAAGTGTGGGCTGAGTGGAGGAAGGGGTAAGGAGGAGGGGGGAAGATAGAGTATGCGTTAGAGGGTATGACGTGACATGGCATCACCTGTTGAGATGAGCAGACAGGTTGAGGGAGCAAAGTTAGCACAAGGCAGTGGAGTTAAGATATTCAGACGATGCCACTGCTGTTCTGTCTGCATGAAACATGCAGTTCTTACATGTCTCAAAGTGGCATGGGTTGTCACTCGTTGTGCTATGGTCGAGGCGGTGCATGTGCGTGCATCCATATGGTCCAGTTTTGAGGCGCCTCAAAACCATCCCATCATCTTTCTCCTCTGCTCACATCCTATGGAGATCTGAGGCCTTTTAAAAACAATCTGGATTCATTTGCAGGCGTCTCAAGCCTAGTTTTTCCATATTATTTTCACCTCTTTCCTCCACATCGCCTGTCTCCCTGCTCTCCACTCTACTCCCTCCTTCCCTTCCCACAATTCCAACAATTATTTCCTCAAACCCTCCTTCCCACCTTTCCCTCCTCCTCCCCTCTTGCCTCTCTTCCCCTGTCCCTCTCCTCCCCAGTTACCCCATGCTGCCCTGTCAGCTAATCGTCTCCACAGTGCTCCTCCGCATGGCCTCTCTCTTCTTCTACACATCCGAGCTCCCCGATGCCGACGTCATGCTGCACGGCCCACGTCTCCCCACCCGCCCCTTCTTCGACCTCCCTCTCCTCGCCACCATTGCCTCAGCAGCCATCGCCACGGCCGTCGCCACGCTCCTCTCTCTCGCCTACTCCATCCGGACTGATCCAAGCAACAACAATGACGTGCATACAGTGGCGTTCATCGGCTGGCTCGTCTCGTCCTGCTTCGTGTCCTTCCACCTGCGTACGACCTCCGAGTCGATCTTCCAGAAGGGGCTCTTTTCGAACCTGCTGGTGCTGCTGGGGATGCTGGTTACTGCAGGGCTGTGCGTGCTGCTCTCGTTCTCCGCGTGGTTCCGCAGCGCGCTGCATTTCCAAGCGATCCCGCCGCTGGACTGGCTGATTGTTGTCGGGATCTCCGCCGCAGGGACGATCTGGATTGAGATGTTCAAGTGTGTTATCTCGTTCTACCGGGACCGTGGATACGAAGTGCCCAGCTTTGAGATTGCTGAGGGGACGGGTGGTGCTGCCGCTGGTTCTGGTGGTGCTGGTGGTGGTGGTGGAGCTCTGGGGGATCACAGGGATGATGGGGAAGGGGGGGACGAGTCACTTTTGCCTACATCCAGCCTCAAGAGCGACATTGAAATGACTTGAGCGGTGCTGTTGGTGCCAGTTCCTCCGCCACTGCCACTGTTGCTGCCACTGCCGCTGCCACCCACTGCTTCTGGCTGCCACCACCTCTCCAATGCCACTGCCATGGCTTTGGCTTGGCCACTCTCGCTGGAAGCTGGGGAAGTTGGGAAGAATGGAAAGTGGAATGGTATGTTGCTCCCCGGCTGATCATAGTGAGGTTGTGAGAAGGCATGCTGCTGACACTCAATCGTTGTTGAAGGGCTGAACAGCGCACTGCAACCACGGCATGCTGTATTTGATTGTGTCGAAGGATGAAGTGGTAAATGCCTTCAGGACAATCTTCGTACATGCCGTATGCCGGAAAATGATACCGTGCTGTCTTTCCATGCCGTCCAGACCTGCTAGTTATTTCTGTTTTGCAGCTTCTAGAGGATATAAGGCTAGAGTCCACACAACATATTGTGCATTCATCCTTAGTAGCAACCGTGTATACACACTGTTTTCGCACTCAAGTAGCCATCTGCAACAGCGAGGCAGACACAAACGCAGTTGCAGCAGAGTGGTCATTCAGGTCGGGTGCTTTGAAGACTGACCCACTGAATGATTTTGTCGTTTTGTCGTCTAGCTTTGTCGTGAAGGAGAAGCTGATTTCGGAGCTTCGGGCAACAACAAACTGCTTTTAAAATTGTGGCTGGTGCTTAGCGGTACGTAAAAGGAAACACGACGTGCCTCACGTCTGCCTTGTGTGTTTGCAACACACCACAGAATGGGGGGAACGTCCCCAAACCATACCGACCCTGCCCCACCCCCTCCAGTTTCTCCAATATCATGCTCCATCTTCCAGCTATCCACCTTAATCCCAGTAAAACGTTACTCACCGCATTGAATCTCAATACCTCTTTTACTTCCCGTCCAGTCGAGCCAAGACCATCCGACAGCCGTGGCGCATGCCACTGGAGCACATATACTCCCCCCACCGACCTGAACCCCAACCTTCACGGTGTTCCTGGCAAACAAGACACGATACACCAGACGCGGACATCACGACAAAAAGGGGCACTTCCACCCAGCCAAAACAGGCTCGAATCAGATTACAAAAAGAGAAACAAAGCAGCACCGATGCATTTGCCCTGCCAAAACTGTACATGACTGGAGGATCGTCCTTCCATTTCGTCCTTACAGATTGTCCAGCAGTACGTAACTCTAGATGGGTGACGTACTATTTCACCCGTCACCCCATTCCACCTTATGGTACCCGATTCCACCACTTTGAAGCGAATCACTTGCACTCCTCAGGTGCTCTTCCTCCTTCCTGTTCGACTGTTGATGACACCCTCTCCTCTCCTCGCCTCTATGTTCACCAAAAGCACAACTCAACTCCAAACCAACGATACTTGCTTCTTCCATCCCCCCAAACCTAACCCGCGTTCATCCTCACTCCAAGGGCCAAATCGAATTCGTGCTGCATTTTACCATACTGAACTGTTCTAGACCACCCTCCTGCATCAGCCTACGCGCTGCCAGCTAATCGTCGAATAATTCATTAGTGGAGAGTTATCGACGCAGCAGTGTCGCGTACACTTTCCCCTTTCTTGCACCGCCATATCGCGAATCACGAGCATCTGTCGTCGTTCCTACTTCTTCCTCTTCCACTCCGTCCCTCCACTCGCCTTACCTCTCCCTTCACCTCATTACCTCTCACAATGGTACTCCTTAAAGTCCCCCACAACCGGCGGCTGCGGCCGCCGTCGCTAGGATCCCGCTTTGCCCCGTCACCATGCGCGCTCATCGTGACGCTCCTGTCATTGGTTCTCCTCCCGCACGTGTCCGTCGTTCGCGGCGCAGTCGACATGACCAATGCAAAGTACAACGTGCCTTATTCGGACTGCCAACGCGACCCCACGCTTCGAAAAGCCAAAGTCGGGGTGAGCAACTGTTATCGTCATCGTGATTGTGATTGTGTGTGCGAGCGCGAGTGTTTGCCGAGCCGAGGTGACTTAATCGGGCTGCGCTTCTCGACGGTGCGACTCATTCCAGTTGACTCTAGATAAGTTAGCAGCGGATACGCAGTAATGCTAGCAAACTCTCGCGCGTGTATTGCGCCGTGTAAACGGTGTAAGCAAGCCGTGTCGCGATGCTAACCCTCCAACGACGTTCTAGTCGATTCAGAAACGGCGGATGACGCGGCGACTCGTTTGGGGTGCTGGTCGGCCGTGCACAGAGTCTTTCCGACGTCCCCCCTCCTTACAGTCGATTAGAAATCTGCGAATGACGGATACCTACGACGACCAGGTGGAGCTGGGAATGAGCGAGGGTGGCGGAGAGAGCGCATAATTGGGGTGCGCGGGTGGTGCGGAGAGGCACACGGCGGTTGGGGACGAAAAACGGAAGCCGAAGCGCAACTATTCCAGACGCGGAAGCTGGAGTTTTGGCACGCGCGGACAGAGGAGGGGAACGGAAAAGCGGGGTGGCGGAAGCGGGAAAGGGGAAGCGGGAGGGGAACGAGCGATGGAGAGAGCGCGGGGGGCGGTCGCTGGAAGTTGGGACTGTGGCGCAAAGAGCCGGATGAGGGGTTCGCGCAACGCGCTCTCTGCTACGCGTTCCGCGCAAACGGACGCGGCGCTAGCCCTGGCGGACGCGTAGTGGATAGGGTTAGCGCGGCGCCGCCCGCTGTACCTCCGCGTTCCTCGCGTTGCGGGTCCGCGATGGGTCCGCACCTGAGACGGATCCTTGGTGGCGGCGAGGCAACCCCGGTAGTTTAGCTGTTCCTGGAACGGCACTAGGTACCCATGCATTTTCCTGGCAGGATTTCTGACAGCTTCTATCCCGTTCCTCTGCTCAGGTCTTCCCCCTTCCCCACCCTTCTCCTGTTACTCCCTTCCTCCCCGCTGCTCTCCTCTCCCTTTTCCTCCGTCACCGCTCCTTCTCTCTCCCGCCGTCTCTCCTCTCCCCCCCTTTCCCCGCGTCAGGCGGGAGGGGACTCGGTGTTGGCGCTGTGTCAAATCCACCGCTCCGCTCCAGACCACCTCACGTCCGCTCACCTCCCCCCTCCCTCCTCCACCCTCTTCTCCTTCCGTCCCCCCTTTCCTCCCCTCACCGGCTTTCTCTAACCCCCCCTCGTCGCACCCCCCCCGTCGCTCCCCGCCCGAGTATCCGCCTCCCCGCCTCCCTGCCTCCCCGCCTCCCTGCCTCCCCGCCTCCCTGCCTCCCCGCCTCCCTGCCTCCCCGCCTCCCTGCCTCCCCGCCTCCCCGCCTCTCCGCCTCTCTGCTGGCAGGCGGGAGTGGACTCGGTGTTGGCTCTCTGTCTCAAGTCCTCCGCTTCGCTCCAGACTACCTCACGTCCGCTCACCTCCGCCTTCTCCTTCCTTTCACCGCTCTTTCTCTCCCCCCTCCGCCCAATGTCTCCCTGCGGCAGGCGGGAGTGGATTCGGTGTTGGCGCTGTGTCTCAAGTCCACCACGTCGCTCGAGACCACCTTCGAGAATGCCAACAAGTTCTTCATCGGCAACATGTCCAACGTCGCATGTGAGTGTCGCGCCGTCGCGCTTGTCGTCGCTCGCCCGCTCGTTCGCTCGTTCGCTCGCCGCCGCCGCCGCCGTCGCCATCATCGTCGTCGTCGTCGCCATTGTTGGTAGCCACGGGGACGGCCGCTGCACGGGATGCCCGTCTTTTTGCTCCCGCTCCCTCCCTCCCCGCCCCTCTTTTTTCTTCACTCCCACCATACCTTCTCCGCAACCCTTTCCCTTCACCCCTTCGCCCCTTCGCCCCACCCCCACTCCCCCTGCCCCCTCTCGTCCCCCGTACTCTCCGTTCCCTACCCTCCCCACCCCCCCGCACCCCACCACTCCCACACACCCCCTCCCCCGCTTTCTTCCCCCAGCGTTTGGCGCGCTGTGCGTGGAGATCGCACAGATGCTGGCAATGGACGACGACAACGTGCTGTACGAGACGCCGCTGCCGCCGTTCTTCATGCGCCAGGGCTTCGCGCTCTCCATCTGGGGGCCCGCGCTTCCTTCCCTCCCACCAATCTTCCCCTTAATCCCTCGCCCCATCCCCTCTTCCCCCGGCGCCCTCTCCTCCCTGGCGCTCTCTTCCCCCCGCGCCCTCCCCTCCCTCCCCCCTTCCCGCCGCGCCCTCTCCCCCCTCCCCCCCTTCCCACCGCGCGTGCGCAGCGTTTGGCGCGCTGTGCGTGGAGATCGCGCAGACGCTGGCAATGGACGACGATAACGTGCTGTACGAGACGCCGCTGCCGCCGTTCTTCATGCGCCAGGGCTTCGCGCTCTCCATCTGGGGGCCCGCGCCCGACCCCAACCTCTACAACGAGACCGTCGTCATGACGCTCGTTAACGACGGCGTGTCGAGCCTGTCTTTAACGGGGATAGACTTCGCGGCGATTGGGGAGGACCCGAATTTCGAGGTGCCGCCGCAGGGGACTGTGACGATCACGGTGCGTGGGGGAGGGGGGAGGAGGGAGGAGGGAGCGGGGAGGAGGGGAATGGGGAAGGGGGAAGGGGAAAAGAGGGGAGGGGGAAGGGGGAGAGAGAGAAGGGAAGAGGGAATGGGAAGGGGGAGACTATGTGGTGGTGGGAACGGGAGTCTGAGAGCCGTTAGTGTATTTGCCTTACACCTGATCCCCTTGCTCCCCCCTCCCCATCGTCCCCTTTTCCCTCTCCACTTTCCAGGGGAGGGGGGAGGGGGAGAGAGAGAAGGGAAGGGGGGATGGGAAGGGGGGGTCTGTGTGGTGGTGGGAACCCCCCTCCCCATCGTCCCCTTTTCCCTCTCCACTTTCCTTTCTCTACCCTTTCGCATCTTCGTTTCCCCCTCCTACCTCCCTCTTCTCCCCCCCTCCCCTTCTCTCTCACACCCCTCCTTCTTCCCCCCTTTCCTCCCTTCCCTGTCGCCCCTCCACCCACTCTCCCCCCATCAGTTCAACCGCACGCAGGCGGCCTTGGACTTGGAAACCCTGCCGCTCCGACAGAAGAATCACCTGTCAGGCTCTTCCTTTCCTACACCATGGCCACA